CGGTGTGCTTCGGTTTCGGTTTGCGTGTTGCTAACAACAACGCTGCTGGTGCTGGTGGTGCTGCTGCTGCTGGGCTGAACGGCTGCTGGTGCTGGTGGTTGCTGCTGCTGCTGGTGCTGGTGCTCGCTGCAGGCTGGTGCTGGTGCTGCTGCTTGCTGCTGGGGCTGGTTGCTGCTGGTGGCAGGGTGGTTAACTGCTGCTGCTGCTGGTGCTGGTGCTGCTGGTGCTGGCGATTGCTGCTGCTGCTGTGCTGGTGGGCTGCTGCTGCTAGTGCTGGTGCTGCTGCTGCTGCTGGGGCTGGTGCTGCTGGTGCTGGTGGTGCTGTTGCTGCTGGTGCGCTGGTGGTGCTGGTGCTGCTGGTGCTGCTGCTGCTGGTGCTGGTGGTGCTGCTGCTGCTGGTGCTGGTGCTGCTGCTGCTGCTGGTGCTGGTTACGCTGGTCGCTGGTGGTGTCTGCAGCGCTTTGGTTAAGTTGCTGCTGCTGCTGCTGGTTAACGTAACTGGTGCTGGTGGTTGCTGCAACACTGGTTAAATTGGTTGACGCAAACAGCTGGTTGCTGCTGAATTAATGGTGGTTGCTGCTGCTGCTGGTGCTGGTGCTGCTGCTGCTGCTGGTGCTGGTGCTGCTGGATGCTGGTGGTTAACAGCTGCTGCAGCAGTTAACAGTGGTTACAGCTGCTGGTGCTGGTGCTGTAGCAGCAGCTGGTGCTGGTGTCGCTGGTGCTGGTGGTGGTGTTGCTGCTGGTGCTGGTGCTGCTGCTGCTGCTGGTTCTGGTGCTGCTGGTGCTGGTGGTGCTGCTGCTGCTGGTGCTGGTGCTGCTTAACGGCTGCAGGTGCTGGTGGTGCTAACGCTGCTGGTGCTGGTGCTGCTGGTGCTGGTGGTTGCTGCGCCGCGCTGGTGCTGGTGCTGCTGCTGCTGCTGGTCGCTGGTGTTACGCTGGTGCTGGTGGTGCTGCGCTGCTAGTGCTGATTGATTGCTGCTTAACGCTGGTGCTGGTGCTGCTGCTGCTGCTGGTGCTGGTGCTGCTGCTGATTGTGCTGGTGGTTGCTGTTGCTGCTGTTCTGGTGCTGCTGCTGCTGCTGGTGCTGCTGCTGCTGGTGCTGAGTGGCGGTGCTGCTGCTGCTGGTGCTGGTGCTGCTGCTGCTGCTGTGCTGGTGGTGCTTCAGCAGCTGGGGCGCTGGTGCTGCTGGTGCTGGTGGTGCTGCTTCGCGTGCGGGGTGCTGCTGCTGCTGGTCGCTGCTTTCGTGGTGCTGGTGGTGCTGCTGCTGCTGCTGGTGCTGGTGGTGATGTGCTCTTGTTGGTGCTCTGCTGATTAATTGAGTTTGCTCGTTTGGGGTTGTGGTGCTGGTTAACTTAACGCTTGTGTGGTGCTGGTTGGAACTGGTTCGGTGGTTAACTTTTGATTTAGCAGCGTTAACGGTTGGTTACGGTTGGTGCTGGTTGGCTTAACGCTGGTGCTGGTTGGTGCTGCTGCTGCTGGTTAACAGTTGACAGCAACAGCACTGGTGTGGTTAACGTGGTGTTGATTGGTTAACAGCAACGTGGTGCTGGTTTACTTAGCAACAACGCTGGTTGCTGGTTAACGCTGGTGTGTTGGTGTGTTGTTTAACGGTTGTTTGCTGGTTAGCTGCTGGTGCTGGTGTGCTGGTTGGTGGTTTGTGGGTGGTTTGTTGGTTGTTGTTAGCTGGTGCTGTTGATTAAGCAACAGCTGGTTCTTTGGTGGTTAACAACAGCAGCGTTGGTTGGGTGGTGGTGTGGTGGGGGTTGTTGTTGTTTAACGCTGGTTAGCAGTTGTGTTGGTTGGCAACAGCTGGGTGGTTAACTGCTGGTTAACGATTGGTTAACGGCTGATGGTTACGGTTATTAACAGCAGCGCTTGGTTAACGGTTAACGCTGGTTAACGGTTGGTTGGCAACAACGGCTGTTAGCGGTGGTTAACAACAACGCTGGTTAACGGTTAGCAACAACGGGCTGGTGGCTGGTTTTGATTAACAGTTGGTGGTTATTTGCTGCTTGATTGTTAACTCTAGTGCTGGTTGCTGCTGCTGCTGGTGCTGGTGGTTCTGCTGCTGGTGCTGGTTTGCTGCTGGTGCTGGGGTGGTTGGCTGGGGCTGGTTGCTGGTGCTGGTGGTTGCCGGTTGCTGGTGGTGCGCTTTGCTGCTGGGCTGGTTGCTGCTGGTGCTGGTGGTGCTGCTTCGCTGGTTGTGGTGGTGCTGCTGCTGCTGGTGCTGGTGCTGCTGGTGCTGGTGGTGCTTGCTGGCCAGTTGCGCTGGTGCTGGTGGTGCTGCTGCTGCTGGTGCTGGTGCTGCTGCTGCTGCTGGTGCTGCTTATGCTGGTGCTGGTGGTGCTTGCTGCTGGTAGTTACTTGGTGCTGCTGCTGCTGTGGTGCTGGTGGTGCTGCTGCTGTGCTGGGCTGGTTACGCTGGTGCGGTGGTCGCTGCTGTCTGCTGGTGCTTTGCGCTGGTGCGGTGGTTGCTGCTGCTGCTGCGGTGCTGGTGGTGCTGCTGCTGCTGGTGCTGGTTGCTCCTGCTGGTGCTGGTTCGCTGCTGGTGCTGGTGGTGCTGCTGCTGCTGGTGCTGGTTGCTGCTGCATGCTGGTGGTGCTGGTGCTGCTGGTGCTGGTGGTGCTGCTGCTGCTGGTGCTGTTGTGCTGCTGCTGCTGCTGGTGCTGGTGCTGCTGGTGCTGGTGGTGCTGTTGCTGCTGGTGCTGGTGGTGCTGGTGCTGCTGGTGCTGCTGCTGCTGGTGCTGGTGGTGCTGCTGCTGCTGGTGCTGGTGCTGCTGCTGCTGCTGGTGCTGGTGCTGCTGGTGTTGCTGGTGCTGCTTACGCTGGTGCTGGTTAGCTGCTTGCTGGTGCTGATGCTGCTGGTGCTGGTGGTGCTGCTGCTGCTGGTGCTGGTGGTGCTGCTGCTGCTGGTGGCTGGTGCTGCTGGTGCTGGTGGTGCTGCTGCTGCTGGTGCTGGTGCTGCTGCTGCTGGTGCTGGTGCTGCTGGTGCTGGTGGTGCTGCTGCTGCTAGTGCTGGTGGTGCTGCTGCTGCTGGTGCTGATGCTGCTGCTGCTGCTGGTGCGCAATTGCTGCTGGTGCTGGTGGCTGGTGTTGCTGCTGGTGCTGGTGCTGCTGCTGCTGCTGGTGCTGCTGCTGCTGCTGGTGCTGAGGTGGTGCTGCTGCTGCTGGTGCTGGTGCTGCTGCTGCTGCAAGTGCTGGTGGTGCTGCTGCTGCTAGAGCTGGTGCTGCTGGTGCTGGTGGTGCTGCTGCTGCTGGTGCTGGTGCTGCTGCTGCTGCTGATGCTGGTGCTGCTGGTGCTGGTGGTGCTGCTGCTGCTGGTGCTGGTGGTGCTGCTGCTGCTGGTGCTGGTGCTGCTGCTGCTGCTGGAAGGCTGGTGCTGCTGGTGCTGGTGGTGCTGTTGCTGCTGGTGCTGGTGCTGCTGCTGCTGCTGGTGCTGCTGCTGCTGGTGCTGGTGGTGCTGCTGCTGCTAGTGCTGGTGCTGCTGCTGCTGCAAGTGCTGGTGGTGCTGCTGCTGCTGGCTGGTGCTGCTGGTGCTGGTGGTGCTGCTGCTGCTGGTGCTGGTGGTGCTGCTGCTGCTGGGACTGGTGCTGCTGGTGCTGGTGGTGCTGCTGGTGCTGCTGGTGCTGGTGGTGCTGCTGCTGCTGGTGCTGGTGCTGCTGTCTGGTGGTGCTGCTGGTGCTGCTGTCTGGTGCTGCTGCTGCTGCTGGCTGGTGCTGCTGGTGCTGGTGGTGCTGTTGCTGCTGTGCTGAGTGGTGCTGGTGCTGCTGGTGCTGCTGCTGCTGGTGCTGGTGGTGCTGCTGCTGCTGGTGCTGGTGCTGCTGCTGCTGCTGGTGCTGGTGCTGCTGGTGCTGGTGGTGCTGCTGCTGCTGGTGCTGGTGCTGCTGCTGCTGCTGGTGCTGCTGGTGCTGCTGGTGCTGGTGGTGGTGCTGCTGCTGCTGGTGCGTGGTGCTGCTGCTGGGCTGGTGCTGCTGGTGCTGGTGGTGCTGCTGCTGCTGGTGCTGGTGCTGCTGCTGCTGCTGGTGCTGGTGCTGCTAGTGCTGGTGGTGCTGCCTGCTGGTGCTGGTGGTGCTGCTGACGCTGGTTGCTTTCGGTTAAGCAACAACAGCAACTGGGCGGATGCTTTCTTTGGTGTGAGTTGGTTAACGTTTAACGCTGGATAACGGTTAGCAACAGCAGCAGCACGGATTAACAGCAACAGCAGTTAACAGTGGTTAACAGCAACAGCAGTTAACGGTTGTAGCAACAGCAACGCGGAAATTAACAGTGGTTAACAACAACCTTCCGGGCTGGTTAACAGCGGTGCTCAGTTGGTGCGCAACAACAACTGGTTAACGGTGCTTAGCAGCTACCGTTAACGGTTTCGCTGGTGCTGGTTGGTTAACAACAGCAGCGGTTAACGGTGGTTAACAGCAACAGCTGGTTAACGGTTAACAACAACAACGCTGGGCTGGTTAACAACTGGTGCTGGTGGTGCTGTTGCTGCTGATTCTTCGGTTGGCAGCAGCAACGCTGGTTAACAACAACAACAGTTGCTGGTGGTTAACGCAACAGCACAGTTAACAGGTTAACAACAACGCTGCCGGAGTTCTTTCGGTGGTTAACTTAACAACGCTGGAGCTGGTGCTGCTGGATTGCCGTGGTTAACAACAACGCTGGTTGGCGCGGTTGGTTAACTGGCGCGCTGCTGGAACTCGGTTAACGCTGATTGGCACCGGTTGGTTAACAACGCTTGCTTTGGTTAACACAATTGGTTAACAACAACGCTGGAGCTGGTGCTGCTGGTTGCTGATTGGGATTGTGCTTAACAACAGGCTGGTTAACGCTGGTTAACGAATTGGTTAGCAACAACAACTGATTAACGGATGCTGCTGCTTAACGCTGGTCGCTGGTTAACAACTGAATTAACAGTTGATTGGACAACTTAACGCTGGTTAACAGTGGTTGCTGCGCACTGGTGTGAGGATGCTGCTGCTGCTGCTGGGGAATACGGATGCTGCTGGTGGCACCGAATGGTTAACGCGCCAGTTAACAGTTAACAACAACATAACTGGTGCTGCTGCTGCTGGTGCTGGTGAGATCTGCTGCTGCTAGTGCTGGTGCTGCTGCTGCTGCAAGTGCTGGTCGAATGCTGCTGCTGCTGGGCTGGTGCTGCTGGTGCTGGTGGTGCTGCTGCTGCTGGTGCGGGTGCTGCTGCTGCTGCTGAAGCTGGTGCTGCTGGTGCTGGTGCTGCGGGCGCTGCTGGTGCTGGTGGTGCTGCTGCTGCTGGAAACTGGTGCTGCTGGTGCTGGTGGTGCTGCTGGTGCTGCTGGTGCTGTTTGGTGCTGTGGTGCTGATATTGGTTGCTGCTGGTGCTGGTTTGGTGCTGCTGCTGGTGTTGCTGCTTTGCGCTGCTGCCGGTGGTGCTATTGGTGCTGCTTTTTTGTGCTGCTGCTGGTGCTGCTATTGGTGCTGCTGCTGGTGGTGCTATTGGTGCTGCTGCTGGTGCTGCTGCTGGTGCTGCTGCTGGTGCTGCTATGGGTGCTGCTATTGGTGCTGCTGCTGGTGCTGCTATTTGTGCTGCTGGTGGTGTGCATTTGTGCTGCTGCTGGTGGTGCTAGGTGCTGCTGCTGGTGCTGCTGCTGTTGCTGCTGCTGGTGCTGGCTGCTGGTGCTATTGGTGCTGCTATTAGTGCTGCTGGTGTTGGCTGTTATTGTGCTGGTGGTGCTGCTGGTGCTGCTATTGGTGCTGCTATTAGTGCTGCTGGTGGTGCTGCTTATGCTGCTGCTTGTGCTGCTGCTGCTATTTGGTGCTGCTGCTGGTGCTGCTATTGGTGCTGCTGCTGGTGCTGTGTTGGTGCTGCTGCTGGTGCTGCAGTGGTGCTGCTGCTGGTGTTGCTGTTGGTGCTGCTGATGGTGCTGCTATTGGTGCTGCTGCTGGTGCTGCTGCTGGTGCTGCTAGTGGCGCTGCTGCTGGTGCCGTTGGTGCTGCTGCTGCTGGTGCTATTGGTGCTGGTGGTGCCATTGGTGTTGGTTATTGGTGCTGCTGCTGCTGGTGCTATTGGTGCTGCTGTTTGCTGCTGCTGGTGGTGCTGCTATTGGTGCTGCTGCTGGTGTTGCTATTGGTGCTGCTATTGGTGCTGCTACTGGTGTTGGTATTGGTGCTGCTATTGGTGCTGCTATTGGTGCTGCTGCCAACCCCTAACAACCACCACCACCACCATCAACCAACAAAAACCACAACTACCATCACCATCAACCACCACCACCATCAGCCACCACCACCGTCAACCACCACCATCGACCACTCCAGCCAGGGGGGGGGTCCTCAAGTCAGGTGAGAATATATACCATAATAAGTGTTTGGGGTAAAGGCCGTCACATGAGCTCCTCCCACATCCCACCTGGGGCGGCTAAATAACAGGCTCAGGAAGCACACGCCTAAGTGGTGCCGGGGGCGTGGGTGGGGGGGCGGTGTGTGGAGGGGGGTGGGGCGGTGTGGGTGGGGTGTGTTGTGGGGGCATATTGCTGGGGGGGGGGAGAGAGAGAATAGGGAGAAGTGAGAGGGAGGAGAGGAGATACAGGATGGGTTGATGGGGTGGGAGGGAATGACAGTGGCAGATGAAGAGAGTGGGCGAGAGAGAGGAGCAGCGAGAGAGGAACGGAGAGAGAGAGAGAGAGGAGCAGCGAGAGAGGAACAGAGAGAGAGAGGGGAGCAGCGAGAGAGGAACAGAGAGAGAGAGAGAGAGAGCAGCGAGGAGAGGAACAGAGAGAGGAGCAGCGAGAGAGAAGACACACCCATTACCCCATTCTTCCTCAACCCCACACTGATCAATCCCTCTCACCTCTCCCCTCTCCCTCCCCATCCCCATTCACCTCTCATCCTCTCCCTCCCCATCCCCTATTCACTTCTCATACCCTCCTCCTCCCTCCCTCTCCTCCACCAATCAACCCCTCACCCCACTACCCCTCCCCAACCCTCAACAAACAGTCGGCTCTGTTCCAGTTCAATACCGTGACGTCAGACTATGACGTCACCGTTAAACTGGTCGATGACATCACCGAGGCCGCAACGAGATTAGACGATCGGGTTGACACATCCTGACGTCACCACTGAAGCTCTCCTGATGAAATCTAGTGACGTCACTCTTTCGGGTCGGCTGACATCACCAGAGTAAGACAAACACACGATGCAGCTGACATAACACCTGACGTCATGAAGAAGAAGGAGATAGCTGACGTCATGAAGAAGAAGGGAGAGATAGCTGACGTCATGAAGAAGAAGGAGAGATAGCTGACGTCATGAAGAAGAAAGGAGATAGCTGACGTCGTGAAGCGTGAGAGGAGAATAGCTGACGTCATGAAGAAGAAGGAGATAGCTGACGTCGTGAAGCGTGAGAGGAGAATAGCTGACGTCATGAAGAAGAAGGGAGAATGGCTGACGTCGTGAAGCGTGAGAGGAGATAGCTGACGTCATGAGGGAGAGATAGCTGACGTCTCCTTCGATCGAGCGAGACATTGTCAGGATCTGGCTGACAAACGACAAGGGGAGTTAGCAATAGTCTCTCGCTTGGCTGATTACTGCAGGGTGTGAGGGAGAGAGAGAGAGAGAGAGAGAGAGAGAGAGAGAGCCACCATCATGTCCTCCCTCCTTCACGTGATGGAGGAAGGAACAGTGGGGCTAAAGGATGGAGAAGGAAATGTGTCCAATCTTCCTCCTTCCCATAATATATATTAAGGGTGAGGGGAGGGAGGGAGGGAGGGTGGGAAAGAGAGGGAGGCCTGTAGTAGAATAGGAGGAATGGAGGAAAAGTAGAGAGGAAGGGAGAAGACAAGGTAGAGAGAGGGTTTAAGACCTTTGGATGAAAACGAAGAAGAACATAAGAACATAAGGAGTCTGCAATTGACCGGTTGGCCTGCATGGCAGCTCCTGTCGAGAGTTACTACCACTCTCTATCATCCATGAATCTATCCAGCCTCCTTTAAAACTTTCCAGCGTTACAGCACTTACTACAAAGTTGCTTGTTCCACTCGTCCACCACCTTATTTGTGAACCAGTTCCTTCCTATCTCCCTCCTAACCTGAAGTTCGAGTCCTATCCTGCTCGATATTATAAGAACTTTATCTATATCCTTTATTGATTCCTTTCACCAGTTAAATACTTCTATCATATCTCCCGCACTCTTTCGTCTTTAGGAATGCAAGTTTAGTTTCTTTAACCTATCCTGATATGAAGGTTTTAAGTCCTGAATAATTTTCGTCATTCTTCGCTGCACCGACTCTAGTGAATTGATATCCATTCTATAATAAGGGCACCAGAACTAGCAGCATAATCGAGGTGCGGCCTGACTAGCGCAAGATATAGTTGCAATAAGACCTCTGCACTCTTATTACTTGCACTCTAGACAAACCTAATACTCTGTTTGCCTTATTTCGAACATTAACGCACTGTTTTCTA